TAAGGGAGCATGTGTAAAATCACACAAAAGAGCACAATCTAGGTTCTCAACCTGACCGTTTGTATAAAGAGCTCTTTGATCTGTTCATCGTCTAGGCCAAAAGCAATATCTGCAGATAAACTCTGTATGGTCATTTTAACAGCAAGATGCTTTAAAGCATGGCAGTCTCTACTTGAATCCATGCACTGTTGCTGAAAATTCAACATTTCACTCTCAAAGTACATCCCCGAGGACAGAGAGAACAAAATGGAGAACGCAACAGAAATTGAAGGGGGCCGCAGGGTACCAGACAGAAGTCAAAAAACAAAGTTCACACTGCTGGAAAATAACCATACCTGTGCACCGGTCCGAGATTTGATTTGTCTGGAAATCACAGTGTGACTAAAGTTATTTTGCTTGTGGCTAGCAAAGGGCCAAAGTACAGATCAGGACTCAGACAGGAAGTCAAATCCCTGTAATAACAGACACCTTTGACACTGCCAAGGATTCCTAGAGCTCTTTTCTGGCTGTTATTGTCAACATTTTATCAAGTATATTATTGTTTATCGCCGAGACCTTGGCCGAGAGGCATCTCGCACGTTTATTTACTGTGTCAGCGGCGATATAGTGGGTGTGCGGGTCGAATATATTCGTGCGTATGTGTGAGAGAAAGAGAGCATGGTATGCTGTGCCAGTGCACATGTCTGTGCAGATAAATTCAGGGATTAGTGTGTTAGAGATGCACAGACTGACTGACAATCTCTCCTCCCTTCAGTGCCACTGTGAGACAACTGAGAACTCATTAACTCACTGCACTCACGGACCGAGAGAGAGAGTGAGAGAGTGAATTGAGACAGAAATGAACATGATGGCGTAGAAATAGAAAAAGCAAATATGGTGTATTAGCTGCAAGGCCGTGAGCGATCGAGGCAGAAAGAGTGAGGGAGGTTAGGCCAAAAACAGAAAAGGCTAACAGTGAACAGCAGAGGCTGGAGGAAGAGGAGGTGTGGAAGAGAAGGATGAAGAAAGGAGAGAGAGAGACAGAGAAAGTGGCTGTTGCCAGGGACAACAGCATAATAGAGAGCGATCCTCCTACACAACCTCTGCCTTATTTTACTCCTCCTCCACTGTGGCATGATTCTATCTCTCTCTCCGTTTACCTGCCTCAAGTCATGTCTGCCGTGGACCGTGTCAGAGTCAACAGTGCTTATTGACATCATTGTTAAAGGGACGGCTCATCCAGAATGGAACACTCTGACATTTACTCATCCGCATGTCATTCTAAACGTGATTTTAAATCTTTTATTAAACACAAAACACTTTAGGCGGGATGGTCGTTCTTCTCTTTTCCGTACATTGAATGTGAAAGGTGATAAGTCCGATGGTCAAGTTCCATAATGAAAAGAGAGAGAAAAAAAAAACAATACTATAAAAGTATTACAACAGAAGTTTTCAAACATTTAAGTGCATTGCAATTAAATAAAAATTAAATGAAATTTATGGCCTTTTTTGACCCACTTAATTAGAATATTTTCATCTGTAATATAATTATTCCTGTTTTCTTTGAAATATGATTAAAGTGTACTGCTGGATGTACTGATAAGCATTTATGGAAATCAAAATGTACTTTAAATGTAATTTCTATTGAAACCTGTATGTCATGCAGTTAAATATATTTGTAAACACATATGGATAATGCTGAAGTAATTTTAGATGTAATATTGAATAACACACTACAGAAAATTAGTATGTACCTTACGTATGTATAGTATGTGCTATAGTCTAAAAATCTGTCTAAAAAATAAGTTGGCTTTTTAAAGCGTTTGGAATGATTCTTAAAACTTGATAATTTAAAATGTAATTCAAAGTAAAAAAAAATTTAAAAGTGTACTTAAGTGTGTTAAGAAACATTCATGAAAGTCATATACACAATAAATTAAATGACTTTTCAGAGTCCTGAATCTCCTTGAATTTTTGTTGGTCTGGCTGCCACCCACTGTCCCTGTGGGCAACGACACGCTGATACATATCTAGCTGATACAAGGGGGCCGTGGTTTCCTCTTCCTCTAGAATGATTTTTATCATTATCAGTCTGTATGGGGAAGTCTGGAAACCATTTTTTGGAAAAGGGATTTATATTATGATGTTGTTTACAAAATCTTTTACCCTTTCACCCAGGGCTAAAATCAGAATAAAATAATGATTGATGATAATGATAATGAATGACAGAACATTACTCAAATAAAGGTAATGAACCTAAGAAATACTCCAATATTCACAAATACGTTTCTATCTTGCTTTCTTTTCTCATTCCACACCCACCTCCACCTGAATCTTTGCATCTCCTCTGTCTCTGCTCACGGTTGCCTGACTCACTGATTTGGGTGTGTGATTGATGGAAAGAGCTGCCCCATCATTTCTGTCTCTCCCACCTTCCCTCTCCAATACCAATACCAGAACTTTTGTTTGCTAAATTACTGCATCTACCAGGCAGGCGATGCACTGATCTCCCCAGGCTCATTCCAGCACACTTATCTTTCATTCTGTCTCTACAAAATACTTCAGTGCTCCTCTGTCTTTCAGCTCTCTCGCGTTTCTGGAATGAGTCTGGAGATTTGATTTGTAACTGCTGATGTTGATTGTATTACTTGGTTCTGTTTTGTACCATATTTTATTGTGTTTTAATGTCTAACACAGGAGTCTTCTTATGTTTTTATGTACCCCCTGATAGATATAGCATAAAGCATAGATTTTTATATGAAGCCTAAAATAATGTGTATAGTGCCATATTGATGTATTACTTTGTTATAACACTTATTTTGCAAAGCCATTGAAATAGTCATTATTGACGCACAGAGATATATACTTGTGCGTTACATTTTCATTTAGCTAAACAAAGTAGTTACCCAAAAATGAAAAATTCTGTGAAAATTGACTCATCTTCAGGCCATCCATTAGTTTATTTCTTCATGTAGTTTAGAATTACATAATTTACTCACCAGTGGTTCCTCTGCAGGGAATGGGTACCATCAAGTTCAAACAGATTAAACAACATCACAGTAATCCACAAGTAATCTACCTGACTACAGTCCATCAATGAATGTCTTGTGAAGTGAAAAGGCTGCATGTTTGTAATAAACAAATCCATCATTTAGATAGTTTAACTTTAAACCGTTGCTAATACATAATCCATAATGACGCTTCCTTCAGTGAAAAATTCCATCCCCTGTCGTCCTCTCACATCAAAATCCACCTACGTATTTGTTTACATCTGTTTTCTCTTGTAAATGGTGCTTGATCTGTTCATATGTCTCTCCTGATTCAAATGAGATTACTTTTTCATTGGAGAAAACAATATTACAGATAGAGGATTCGTATTTTAGCCAGAAGCCACAGTTTGAAGTTAAAAAAGTCTTACTGATGAACAGTGGCGGCTCGTGGGTTTTAAAATAGAAGAGGCACACTAATTGTATTAGTCTGGGATCCCTGCCGATTATTATTAGGGCCCGAGCACCGATGGTGTGAGGACCCTATTGGAATTGCTCCGTTTCTTATTATTCTTCTTCTTCTTCTTCTTCTTCTTCTTCTTCTCCAATTCGTGTGTTTTCCAGGTTCCCTTGTATCCATTAAAATCTCTCGATTGATGTACTCCTTGTCTCCTTCGTTCCTTGCTCCGCACTCCTCAGAGTCAGTGGCGGCTCTTGGGTTTTAAAATAGAGGAGGCACAGTAATTGTATTGGTCTGGGATCCCTGCCGATTATTCTTATTATTATTTGCTTAACCACTTTATAATGGCTTTTTGTCAGAAAACGTAAAGAAAACGACATACATACAGCAAGATAATATAATTTCACTTACCTGGCCTATCACTTGAAGCAAACATCCATCCCTTCATAAAAGTCTGTGTTAAAAGAGAGCTGCCTGTTGCGCCATTTAATTAAGCCTATACTGCTGTAGCCTATATCCAGTTTAGGCTGTTTACCCTAAATTTGTATATATACTGTTTGAATGACAGCTTGGTAAATCTGTTGGCAATCAAATATTCAATATCGCTACTCATCATAAGTACTTGGTACAAATACTAATAAAACTAGTATTAAAACTATAAAACTATAATGAGACATGAACTGAAATGAATTGTGAATTTTATTAACAGTAAATCATCCTCCTCCCATTTTCTCCTCAAAATTATTGGGAAGCTGTATCTCCCCTGCCTCCCCCGACGAGCCGCCACTGCTGATGAATTGGTTTATAACAAACGCACAGCATTTTGCTTCACAAGACATTAACTGATGGACTGGAGTTGTGCTTTTATCACCTGTTTGGACTGTCATTCTGACAGCACCCATTCACTGCAGAAGACTTATTGGTGAGCAAATTATGTAATGCTAAATTTCTCCATATCTGTTATGATGAAGAAACAAACTCATCTATATCTTGGATTGCCTGGGGGTGAGTATATATTATTTTTGGGTGACCTATTCCTTTAATACAACAGGGACTTCTTAATGTTAGCTTTGGATGAAGTTGACCCTCATTCATTTATTATTATTTAAATATTTTATTTTTATTTTTATCACAGCAATTTTTCATATAAAATGTATATGAAGTTTGTTTGAAAACAAAATAATAATAATAGTTGGCGATCCACTAACGCTTGGTCTAGTTCAAAGTATAAATGAAAGAGTGCTAAAAATCAAAAGTCTGTCTTTCCTCAGTTTCCCCTGTACTTTCATACTCCCTTCACTCTTTCATCACTCCTGCTTTGCCTCTCAGCAGTTCTGCTCCTTTCTTTCTTTCTTTCTTTCTTTCTTTCTTTCTTTCTATTTCCCCTCTCTATCTTTCCCTCTCTTTCTCTGATGTCTCTGCCTGATGCACTAAGTGACAGACTATGCCAAGTCTGCCACCTTATTTAGATTCAGGCTAATTAAGAAAGCCAAGTGGGTTTTGCAGCACCACAAACAACATTATTCAGAAAACAAACATTATTCTCTCCCTCTCCCATCATCTCTTATCTACAGCTCAGAGCTCATCGGTTCCCAGCCCCTGTTCCCTGCGACAAGTGGATTTCAACCAAGGCTTAAGCATCAGGAACGCTTACACTTGACGTCTGCAGACCTGGTACGGCGATCACACCTGATCCACTGCACAAGACGACGACACTGCCACAGACTCATCTTATCGATCATAAACTGCGTAGCGTCAAAGGAGGGAAAGCAGGTGAGGATTGGCATAGTCACACTATACATGTAGACGTGAAGCAGTTTTTGGCCCTTCCTTGTGTATTGATCGTCAACCTTGTTAAACAGTACATATGAAAAACGGTCTGTGTGCAAATTCCCCGCAAAAGCATTTGTTCCATCCGGTTGCAGTTCTCAACAAGCATCAGACCTGCCCCAAGCTGACAGGCACTGTGGTTTGTGTTTTTGTAAATGATGATGGACCTGTCATGTCTTTTCCTCTCTCTTATTCACACACATCGACACACACACTCAGCATGAAGAGAGATACCTGCCCTCTCTTGTTTTCAAATACAGTCACACAAGACAATGTATTTTCATTTAGCTCGGTCTGGGAAGTGTGCAGTGGTTTTTAAGGGTCCCATAAGATGATTTCCGCTCTCTTTAACACTAAAATGAAATGGTTAAATGGCCTTGCTTTGCTCCCTTGAAAAAGGTCCTGCTCACTCATGCTTACCACAGTCAGCTCAATGGCAGTGAGAGGCTTTAATGAGTCTGGACCACTGGAGCTCAGCTGTGACCCTCTTTACCCCCTCAGTCCTATAATGAAGACCATCGTTATAGCGCAAGTCCACAAATCACTCACTGTGCTTTCTCGTTTCCTTCATAACAAATACTTGCAGAAAAAATATAGTACGTGTAAATAGAGCCTGTTATAGGACTGAAGTCTACTACAAAAGTAGTTTCATTTCTGGCATGTTTTTATTTTTCCTAAGGATTTTTTAAAATAAACTTTGTTGATAAATGAACAATAAAACCATCAACACGATCTCGAGACAATTTTTGTTGTTGTTGTGGGGAAGGGTTAGAAGGAAGTTTTTTTTTTTAATATGCTTCATGGGCATGACAAATATTTTGTATTTTTGTATTGATTAAGAATTTGCAGCTTACCTTCATGCAATGAACATTGTGCAAAGAAATTAGAGAGTTATTGTAAAGGAAAGATAAAAATGGATAAAGTTAAAAGTGTAAAATAAATACTCAGGACACTACCAGTTATATGTTATACATTATTAACAGCATTATATTATATTATATTATATTATGTTATGTTATGTTATGTTATGTTATGTTATGTTATGTTATGTTATGTTATATTATTGTCAGGGTTATGGACCTTTTCTGTTCTGTTTTCCTCCC